GTAGGTGTTCAATAAATGTGCAATAAGTGATGGATAAATAGGGTGGCATTTGTTAATATTCATACCTAAAAGAATTAATCCTAATATTTGACTTAGTCATATGTTTCAGATATATGTAGAAAGGGATTTTCTAAGTGCTTTTAGTTGATCAAAGTATTATAACTTGTACACATGGAAGCGGCATCTTAGAACAACTGTCATCCAGGCTGCCGAAGTTCAGACATTTTAAACTACTGCTGAGCAATGTTAAAGATTGGTTAGTCAATGTCCCCTTTCCTGCCACCCCCCCCAACTTTTTTTGGTTATAATTTTTACTCATATACACAATTTAAGTTTTACAGAAATATATTAGAAAATACATTGCTTACCATTTAATGATTTTAAATATGAACAAAATGGCTTACTGAGCCACAGGTAAACATTGATGCTGCTTTAAGTTGATAGCCTTATAAATCATGCACCATGCTTGAGTAAAATCAGTCACCTCCTTCAAAGCTTATATGGGACGGACAGACACATTTCACATGCTGAGTAGTAGAGTTAAAATACCACCTCCTCCCCACATCCAGGAAGAACGTTTTTAGCACATTTATCTGTTTACTTTCAGGGTTGTCTGTAGTCCTACGATTGAATAAATGTAAATGCAACTAAAACTTGCTAGATTAAATGAAATGCCATGTAGTGATTTTAAAATCTCTCTTTTTCAGAGTACTAAATAAATTTGGCATCATTAGCCTTATGAGGATCAGCATGCTCACCGGTAACAATTAGGCACTTATTTTTAAAATGTCACCCTTTTTAATTCTCTCTCCCTCTTTTAAGCCTCATCATTATGCAGGTGACATTTCTTCAGGGCAGGCTTACTTTAGGAAGGATATGTTAATTGCACCTAAATCCTTTTCCAACAGATAGTTTTTGAAGATCTACCCAGGTGTTAGTATATTTACTTATTAACACTACTCTTCTGATAAACAATTGATAGAAACTCCATGCTTTTACATTAAACAGATAGAGGTATTTCAGAAATAATAATATCTGAGACAACTATAATGTAGATTAAATAATTATTCAAGGAAAGAAAATTCTTGAACCAAAATTACCGTTTATTGACTCCTTCAAACATTTTTTGAGTATACTCTTTGAGTTCCTAGGATAGATAAAGAAATGGATTGAATAGTGTCCCTACTCTCAAGAAATTTATTTTCATTTAAGAAAGAGAGAGACATCAGCATATGGACATCCACAGATCCTCAGCTAGATGTATACGCTGTCTTATCTAATCTTCACAATAGATTTATGAGGTGGGTACTACTATTCCCATTTTTCGGATCAAAAAAGATTTTATTCAATGAAAGGGCAAGTTAATTTTCTTCAAGTTAATTCTATTAGCAAATTTCAGAAGTGGAATTTGACCCTGATCTGTTTGTGTCTTCTACATCATAATTAGCCTAATCGTTATTTAACAAAATTAAATAATAGAATTATGAGTAAGGTACATGGAGCACAGAGAAGGGAGTAGTTAATTTTTTTTTCAGATCCATTTATAAACAGGAATTGAGAAGATTAAGTGTCCAAAGCAGGTGACTATAAAGGAAGGCCTAATTGATGGTGTTACTAGATGGCCCTGAGCATTTCCATGGGTCCTTGTGATTGGTGGGTTTAGCAAAGTGTTGTATATGTCAGTGTCTCATACCTAAATCATCTCCACTGCCATTTCCAGTTTGATTTCTGCTATCTATAAGGGAACATATAGAATAGACTTTTTTGTTTGTCCTTGATTCAAAATTCTATCCTCTGTGTAGAATTAGTTTCAGAAGGAAGATACAAATAAATGCTGTGGAAAACTTGTAAACCCTGCTGATACCCTCTATTGTGGCTGTTTGACACCTCGATCTGTTGTCTGTTATTTGTTTGTTTTCTCTCAAGGCCTTGGGGAATTCATATTTCCATCCTCCAGTCCTGATGCGGTATTCAATAAGTAAACAAAGTATGTAGGTATACCTACGTACATATTCAATACCTACATATTCAATACCTACATGGCAACTGTAGGTATTGAATAAATGTTTGTTAAATAAATGAATGAATGAACGAATAATCTGGTGGTGTACACCAATAGTAGCATGGATGACGAAATGTAGTGAAACCTTCAGGTTGGGTAATCAATGTACATAGTCTTCCTACCGAAATGTAATCAAGTTTCAAAGGCTAAAACTACCTACTCTAAATTAAAGAAACCATTAAACTTCTTCTGAACAAATAAAGCAATTATTTCCTGCTCTATATTTGTAGGTTGTGATAATGCATTTTAAATAAAGCCCGTTGAGTGTGTTTTTATTTGTTATTTTTCTTGGTTTTAACACTCTATTGTGTGCAAAGGCCCCTTAGAAAACTGAAAATGAAAGTCTCCTCTTACTGATTTTGTCATTTTCCATTTGTCAAACATTGATTTTCTCCCCCCTTGTGCATCTAATGGAGGTTGAAATTAGTGTTCTTTTTTTTTTGTTGATGTTTACTTCTTCTTTGTACACCATCATCATCATTCATCAAGCTGCCAGTGAGCTCTGGGGAGAGTGCTGGAGAGTTAACTAATGCTCTGAAGTCCTCACAAGGAATATTTTGAATAGATTTTTGCTACAGCTTTGGCTCTTGCCTTTAGAATTCCTTTCTAGGAAAGATTTCAAACAGAGGAAACAGTCCCCAGAAAATAATATTTTTTTTAAGAGAAAAAATAACCAAAACTACTCCTTTCAGCTTTTGGATAATTTAAGATCTCTTGGAGATTCAAAAGAAAATATTCAGAAGTAGTATTAAGGAATCTGTTTATCTTCTACAAAAATATCTACGAACTTAAGGTGCCATATACACGGTCAGTTTGTTCCTCCTCTTGTGATGTTGGAGGACATGTTCTGTGCAGCCCTCAATGGGACTCATGAGGAGGATGTCACCATGGCAGCAGTTGGAAAGGAACCATCCTCCCGGTTAGCTGGGGAAGGGGTAAAGGGGTAGTGCTTATGAGACTTGGGTATGTGCCTGTGAAAACATAAATTTTTCTTTCTTTCTTAGATTGATTGGGTTGACTATGAAATTCCCTCAACACTGAGAATAAATTCAGGAGAAGATAATTTCTCCTAAGGGTAAGAATGCTAGTTTTTGAGGTAGGGCATTACATTTGATCATGAGAAATGGGTCACGATGAATTTGAAAGTAAAGAATGAAAAGAAGATAGGCCAGTAGATATCATAATCATTAGAAAGCAAAAGAAAACAAAACAACTGTAGAGCTGTTCTACATGTTTGTGATTTGCACGTGTCTGTGAGGTGTGTGGCTTCCTCTCTGTGGTTTGGCTCTCTTGATGGAGATCTTGATAGCTCGTTGCTTTCTCATTCCTTTATGGCACTATCTGAGAGTATATTTTGTGATGGTGGAAGTCTTCTGTGTTGTCTGATGTGATAGCTGCTAACCACATGTGGTTGTTGAGTGCTGGAAATATGGATAGTGTGGCTGAGAAACCTGAATTTTTAATGTAATTTAATTGTAATTAATTGAAATTTAAATTTGAATAGGCATATATGCCTAGTAGCCACCATATTGGACAGTGCAGTGATTCTGTACTGATTAAAAGGGTCACGACAGGCCGGGCGTGGTGGCTCACGTCTGTAATCCTAGCACTCTGGGAGGCCGAGACGGGAGGATCGCTCAAGGTCAGGAGTTCAAGACCAGCCTGAGTAAGAGCGAGACCCCGTCTCTACTATACATAGAAAGAAATTAGCCAAACAACTAAAAATAGAAAAAATTAGCCAGGCATGGTGGCGCATGCCTATAGTCCCAGCTACTCCTGGAAGCTGAGGCAGGAGGATTACTGAGCCCAGGAGTTAGAGGTTGCTGTGAACTGGGCTGACACCATGGCACTCTAGCCCAGGCAACAGAGCAAGACTCTGTCTCAAAAAAAAGAAAAAAAAGGCTCATGACAGCTTTGTTTGTTAAGTTAAGTTTTCCCAAAGTGTCTAGATCTGTCACCTTGGACTTGATTTCTGTGCTATATGCAGGCACTGTGCTTGGTGCAGACTATACAATTGATAAACTAGATATAGTCTGTTTTCTAAAATCTTACAGCCTAATACTTTCTCACAACACTGTGCTGTTTCCTAAGAAGGTTGAATAGTCCAGGGAAGGGGTCTAATGAATGAAATAATACCTGTCTTATTTAAAAAAATATTGACGTGAATGGCGGACTGTAATATGATAGAAAACAATTGTCTCACAGACTGTTTGAGGCTTGATTACTGAGGAATATATATTAAATTGTTTCTTCCTTTTGCATGGATAATTTATACATCTTTAAAAACATTATTTGGGTAAAAGATGTGTGTGGCTTCAACATTTCAGACTTGGCACTATCTTTGTATCCTCAAATATTGTCAAATTCTGAAAAACTCACCAACCTGAACCAGGATGATTTTGAAGTCAAGGCATGGGTTTAAATCCTGGCTCTGCTACTGTCTAGCTTTATGCCATGAACAAATCATCTACCCTGTCCAAACCTCATTTTCCTTACTTATAAATGGGGCTAATAACATCTTTTTCATAATGTTATTGAAAGAATTAAGTGAAGTGTTATAAATAACTTAGCTAGAATCGTAACGGTAGCTAACATTTAATAGTCCCTCACTATGCACCAGACATGGCTGTAGAAACTTCACTGGCCTCCATTCATTTAATCTTCCTATCAACATTATGAAGGTACTGTTGTTATTCCCATTTTAAAGATGAGGAGACTGAGGCACAGGGAGATGCATATTCTCCAACATGTAGTGAACACTCAGTGGTTGTTTTGTTGCTATTGGTTTTTTTTTATCATTATTACCGATAGTTTTCTGTAGTTATCCATGCAGAGATAGCCAAACATTAAATAAAAAAATATTGCTAGCTTATTTTTTTCATAGGCTGATTCACTATCATTCATTTGACAGTTTCTGCTTTTCCCAAATCCCACTTACTATTATATCTCCTCCTCTTATAAACTGGAGTCTGGGCTGGACAAAAAGGATATCACAAAGGTAGATGATATCACACATAGTGTCTGTGATAAGCCAGTAGGGTGTGTTGCCTGGTGTTTGATATGGAAAGACGAGGCGCAGCGGGATAAGCCAGCAGTTCCAGTTGTAGGCAAGGGTGATGAGAAGGAGCCACAGGAGATAGAGTCGATCTAGAAAAAGAGCAACTGGAGTGATCCAAATGGCACGAAATGAGCATGAAAAGAATTCTCTTGCTTAGTTTGGTAAAGATGGGGCATCATCCTCTGGAGAGAAGAAATTTGCTCTACTCCATTAAACATTCAACACAATTCTGCCTCTAGAGTGGGGGGCATCCGGCTTTACAAGAGATGTTAAGTGATCTTGTCAACTTTTCCAACAGTGCAGGGTTTCCTTTTAGTCTTCTAGAGAAGTGGCCATTCTGAGTCTGTCCCATGGGTAACTGCGCTATTTGGATCAAGAAAGGGGACACTCAAGAAAAGTCAGAGGGACACTGCTCAGGCTTCACTGCAGCAGCAGGTGGTTAAGCTGCAGGAAGGGGTATGGCGCTGAGTGAGGAGGGCAGAGAATCAGCCCATTAAGGCAGCCAATGTCCCTTCACACATGGCCTCCTTCTGCCATGGAGGCCACAGGAGGGGATTTGTTCAATTAGAATAATCAACAATGCGATGCATGGAAGAAGACACACTTTATAATGATTTTTTTTTCTATTTTTTGGTGTCAGTGTACATATTGGTGAGCACTTTGGGGCCTTCTTTTCAAAGATAATTAGGAGCAAGACAGGCTCCAGACTTCCTTTTAAATATAGGCAGGTGGCCAGGTGTGGTGGCTCACGCCTGTAATCCTAGCACTCTGGGAGGATCGCTGGCGGTCTGGAGTTCGAGACCAGCCTCAGCAAGAGCGAGACCCTGTCTCTGCTAAAAACAGAAAGAAATTAGCTGGACAACTAAAAATATATGGAAAAAATTAGCCGGGTATGGTGGCGCATGCCTGTAGTCCCAGCTACTTGGGAGGCTGAGGCAGGAGGATTGCTTGAGCCCAGGAGTTTGAGGTTGCTGTGAGGTAGGCTGATGTCATGGCACTCTAGCCCGGGCAACAGAGTGAGACTCTGTCTCAAACAAAACAAACAAACAAACAAAAAAACAAAAGAAAACTAACTATAGGCAGGACTATTTTAGCTCTCATTTTCACCAGAAAGGGACAAATGACCCTTTGCAGATTATATAATTTCAATTCTGCTTTCTAGATAGATTCAGAATATGGGCTAGGAAAAACAGCAGCTATCTATGACTTTGGATCACAGGGGTTCTTAAAATAGCCAGTCCTCCCACAGGGATAGTCCGCCCTTTGATAGTACCTGAGTAGGAATCTATACTTTCTGGAAGTTTAATTCGCTTTAGGTACTCTGTCAGAGGCATCTTCTGGAATTTGCAACACAACATGCTGTAGTATTGTTCTTTTGTTAGCTTAGCATTGCTTTCTTGTGTTGATGATACAGCTATGGGCTTTGCTTCACAGGAAAAAAAAAGATGAAATAACTTTAAAAGGTTAAATTAACTTAATGAGCAAAAACTTTGGATTTCTTAAAGTGAGAACATTTGAGAATCCCTCTCAATATAGACAGATGAGGTAAAACCTTCATGACATTTAGATTAGTGACATTTATTTCACTTTATAAATAAATTGAAATATATAAAAATAGTTTTTATATGTATATAAAACAAAACATCATGTCATACACCTTAAATATATATAGTAAAAATAAAATAAAACCTTAACATTTATGAAAATATACAAGCAATGAAAACACTGGAATTTGGAAATGCATAACATGGTTCAAGCTCACTAATAAGGTGTCAAATAGAATATTTTAAATACAATCTTGGTTTTCACATATTTCAGAGCATAAATACAGTCAGGGCTTTGGATTTACCCAGATTAAAGACATTAGAAATGTGTATCATTCCACAGGGTTTAGATTGGTGATTCTTTGTCCTCACACATATCCTTCAAGCTATAGGTAAATAAAGCTCAAAATATTCTTTTCAGCATATCTTTATCAAACTATGATGTGTATGATTTATTGTGGCTTCTTCTACTTAAATAGAAACTGTTATACAATACATAGATTATTTTGAAATCCTACCTTCTCTCACACAGAACTACAAGGAAACTTTCAACTCCATCCCACGTAATTATCAATTTGATTTGTGTTTATCTGTTCCTAAACAACCCAACTTTCTTCTATTCTTTTTCTATACATGTATAAATATTTTACATAGATGTAATCATAGCATATATCCCTTTTGTGCTCTACTTTATTGCACTTATTATTTTTTTATAAACATTTTTGTCATTATTAGGGATGTTGATAGTTGTCCCTCCGCTTATGTGATTGGTTTGTGGATGTCCTTTGCTCTGTTGGATGCTCAGGTAGTATTCTTGTATTTTTATAATACTCACTTTGTATATTATGGGTATTCTTAATATTTACCATAAAACTTACTATAGTAGATATGGTGGGTGGCTCATGCATATACTCTAGGCCAGGAGGTCACCTGCAGTGGGCTCCTTGTGTCTCCACTGGAGGGTTTTCTCGAGCAAGTTTACCTAAAGTGCTGAGGAGTTAGCAATAGGCCACAGCACCAACCGACTTCCTCCTTTTCCATTAGGATAATTCTTCGGTGTGATCCACACCATTTCTGAGCTGGGGCAAGCCCCAGTAGCCACAGCGATGACCCTCTTATTAATGCATCTTTACTGTCTCACTCCCTTCTCTGTCTTTCCACTTTCACCTTTCTGGATCACTTTCAGAATAAACTATTTGTACCCAAATCACTGTCTCAGGGTCTGCTTTGGGGGGAGCCCAAACTGAAACATTTGCAAAATACATTTCCCCCCATAACTTCCTTCTTCCCAGTACTTGGAGGGACTGATGCTTACCAGCTTGCGGGCTGGCTTCGGGTGAGGATATATCTCCCTCTACCAACTTTCTCTTGTAGACGAGTGTTCTTTGACGCATTCTTCTCACCAGGTTGCGTAGCTGGGCATCAGCATACTCATTTATAACAGGGGCTCCAAGCGGTTTGCTTTTGGGGCTAAATAAGGAAAAAAATAGTGATAGAGAGAGGAGATACATATAGGAGAGGGATTAAGTCTTTTCACCTTCCTTATATATTCAGTTACTAACTGTCCCTTTTTACAGTTGAATAGAACAATTCAAACATTAACTTTAGTGGAAATAGTGATGGCAGAATACAGATTTGTCATGGAAAAATTAGAATCCACAAAAACAAATGGTCATTCTTGACCATATTGGGTCTTGATGACTGTGATTCTGTCATTACACTGTGTCACTAGGAGTAAAGCTGTAGCTGGCAGGGCAGGCAGGAATCTAAGATGGCCTCAACATTTCCTTCCCCTTGGAATGCATGCCTGGCATACTCCTGGGATCAAAGAAGATGGTGGGTTTTACTCCCAGGATTACTTCATGTTATATGGCATAGTTGACTTTAAGATGGGGAGACTATACAGGGCCTGATCTAATCACAGGGACCTTTTAAAAGCAGAGAGTTTCTCCAGCTGCTGACAGAGCAAGGAGTCAGAGATTTGAAGCATGAAGGGGATTTTACCTGAGAGAAATCCTCCATTGCCGACTTTGAAGGAGAAGGAAACCACCTGATAAAAATTGCAAGGGGCTTCTAAGAGGCTGAGCGTGATCTCTTGTTAGCTGATCACAAGAACACAGGGACCTTAGTCCTACAACCACAAGGAACTGAGTTTTGCCAATAACATGAATGAACTTGGAAGTAGGTTCTTCTCCACAGCCTCCCAGTGAGAACCTGATCTGGCGCAGCTGACACCTTGATTTCAACCATGTGAGACTTTAAGCAGAGAACCCGGCCACACCCACCCAGACTTCTGATCCACGGACCTGCGAGCTAATAAATAGATGTTGTTTTAAGCCATTAAATTTGTAGTAATTCGTTATGCAACAATAGACAAATAATAGAGCTGGTGTGTTTTAATGAACTTCCCTTATGAGAAAATATACAGACTAGTACAGAGTGCAGAGTATAAATTAGTATACTTCATTTAGATTTGCATTTCCTCACAGATTTCTCTCAGAGCTGTCCCTCTCTGTCTTCCTTCTGATGTCTGCCATGGGATCTATATGGGCCTGTGTAGGCTGAATTCATCCTTATTTCTGCACATTTCTATCTGCCCATTCCATCTCACTTCCAAACTGGAGCCCGTGAGTCCAAAATGAATTTCTTTGTATGAGTACATTCAATTCAAGGTGTTTGTAGGACCTTAGGTGATAGGACCTAGTTTGTGATACACAGGAGACATTGAGAAATATAGTCTGGCAATGCGAACTTGGTGGTCATCAGTGTATATGAAATATATGAAGAGACATATGCGTATGACATCATCATAGACTGTAAAGTTTTCAAGTCTGAGAATTATGACTTTTCTTTATACTCCACAAGTCCTAGCACAAGGTAGGTTTTTAATAAATGCTTATTGAATAAATAAACCTGCTACTTCTAACTTTTTGTTTGACCTTATTTAATGTGCCTCGGTGTTTTAAAAAAAATCTATAAAAAGCAAAGTTGAGGGTTGGTGGATCATTAACTATAAAGTCAGATAATCAAACTGTCAAAATGTCTAATACAAATCCCAAGACCAAAGGAGGATATTTTTTCTTTTCCTGAATTATATATAAGCCCTAACTGACCATACAGTTGCCATTTAATCACACCAGTTTGTATTGTGCAAACCTACCTCATGGTTAAAATGCTGAAAATCATATTAAAAAGAATGCCAGCATTTCAAATACATATCTGTATTTTAAATACAATGCATTTTTATTTTCGTGCCAACTGGAGCATGAATATGTCAGCCTATTTTATCTTCTTTTTTTCCAGCTTTTTTTTCTAGAATCCTTTCCTTTCTTCTCCTCTGCTTGTATACACACAGAAGCTATGAATGTATTTTTATTTAGGTAATTTTGTGACTGAGCAGAAAAAGGCAAATATAGATGAAGAAACATATATCATGAGATAAAAAACAGAAGAGCATAGAAGAGGGAAACAGTGGCTATGCTGTATATAGCTATGCTTCATTTGAGCTATATTTGATATGTCTCATTCACATTAATAATTGTATGCTTTTTAAAAAATTATTCTTTCATCATTACTCCATGATGTAAAAATATTTTACAAATTTTCATAAACATGGAAGGAAAGTCTTATTAGATAGTCATCTTTTATTGAGAAGAATGAGACTTTTAAAATTTGTTTATGTACCTATATGGAAGAACAAAAGATTACTTATTGGTAGAATGAAATTTTGTGACATTTTTTTGGTAAAGGTACAGAGAAAATTAATTTTTTAAAAAAAATTTGATGGAAAAGAAGAGAATTATAATAGCATTCCTAATTTCTTTAAATTCAATCCAAGGAATAGGCAAAAAAAAAAAAAATCATATAATTGACAAGTGTGGTCGTAGAAGTTTTTGCCCTCCAGGGCAATGTATCATAGAAAGACTGGGATGGATGAGAAGTAGGTCTTGTTTTTCCTCCCATAAGGTGGGGAAAAAAATGTCCACTGTGAAAGGGGAGATAGGAAAGAAATACTTGTGTTCTGCAGTTGTACTCAAGAAGTTTTAAGGAAGAGAATATATATAAGATGTGACTCTTGAAATTGTTTTTTTTTTAAAACTATCTGTGTTTGTTAGGACTCTTAGAAAGTTTTCATGTACACCCCAGGAAAACATATTCTCTACTTTAAGATTGCTGCTTTAATATAACATGAAGTGATAACCAATTTTGATGATCATCATAAAATGGTTGGGTGGTGCTCAGGGATGAATTCACAGAGGAGGTGATATCTGAGTTAAATCATGAAAGATGAACAATACTTTGATAATATTAAGGAAGGTGTTCAAAGCAAAGGAAACAGCCTTAGGAAGTGTGTGTTAGTTGCTGTGTTACGGAATAAGATAAATATATTTTAACATAGGAGCCCAAATGACGCTTAATTTGGCTTGAAAGGTCAGTTGATATTAATGGAAACCATAGCAGAATTCTAAGCAGAAAAGGGACATGATTAGCTATGCTTTAGAAAAATCACTGAAAAAAGAAAGAAGATAATTAGTTGGGGTAAGGAGGAAGTCTAACTTGAGAGAGTAAAGTTAAAATATGTGAGTTAATGTAACAGTATCAAGTAACAGTATGAAATTCCAACTTTGGTCATTGTAATACGTTGAATAATATTTGCCAAAATTTATGTCCACCTGGAACCTCAGAATGTGATCTTATTTGAAAATACATTATTCCATTACAGATGTAATTATTTATTTTAAGGTCATACTAGAGTAGGAGGGCTCTTAATCCAATGACTGGAATCTTTTTTTTTTTTTTTTTTTGAGACAGAGTCTCACTCTGTTGCCTGGGCTAGAGTGCTGTGGCATCAGCCCAGCTCATGGCAACCTCAAACTCCTGAGCTCAAGCAATCCTTCTGCATCAGCCTCCCAAGTAGCTGGGACTACAGGCATGCGCCACCATGCCCGGCTAATTTTTTTCTATATATTTTTAGTTGTCCAGCCAATTTCTTTCTATTTTTTAGCAGAGACGGGGTCTCGCTCTTGCTCAGGCTGGTCTCAAACTCCTGACCTTGAGCTATCCACCCGCCTCGGCCTCCCAGAGTGCTAGGATTACAGGCGTGAGCCACCGCGCCCGGCCATGACTAGAATCTTTGTAAGAAGGCCAGGTGAAGACACAGAGGAGACACAGGTAGAATGCCATATGATAAGACTCAGAGATTGGAGCAATATATCTTCCAGGCAGGAAACACCAAAGATTGTTGGCAACCACCAGAAGCTAGGAGAGAGGCGTGGAACAGACTCTTCCTCGGCTCTTTCGGAAGGACCAACCTTGATTTCAGGTTTCTAGCATCTAGAACTGTGAAAGAATAAATATTTGTTGCTTTAAGCCATTCGGTTTGTGGTAGTTTGCTATGGCAGTCCTGGGAAACTAATAGAGTTAGCAAAATGGATAATTGAAATACCACAGGAGTAACTCAGATGGAGGCATAAGCTGTAAGAGAAATATAAATACATCCAGTTTAGTAGATGTTAAACTAGAGGTGTAAATTAAGAATCAAGCTCTCTTTACATCAGTACAGCAGGCAGTTGAGAACTGGGGGCTCGAAATCAGAAGGGAGGATAGATCTGGAGATATTGAACTAGGTAGGGATCATCTGTCTAGAGGAGACGGTGGGAGTTATGCAGGGGATGAGATTACTGTTAGAGCCTGCATAGAACAAGAAAAGATTGGGAGGTCACAACCCTGGAATTTGCTGACATTTAAGAAATAGCATAAGAAAAGGAACTGAGAAATAGCAATTAGAGTGGTAGGTCTAAGAGAGAAAAATGTCACAAAAGTCAGTGAATGTAAGAGTTTGAAAAAAGGAGGTCAGTGGAGTGTCATGCTGCACTCAAAGTGAGTAGGATGAGGGCTAGAGGAGGACTTTAATTTCAGCAAGTTAAAATTTCACTGGTTATCTTTAAGAACACTGGTTAGGAAAATGTGTAATGCCATCACATTTTGTCAGTTTCTCCCCATTTGTCTTAACAAGTATTTTGTAAAAAAGGTATGTAGAATCTACATTTGTTCTCTAAATAATATTTTGGATTTCCATTCACTATTTTCTTTTGCAAACTTTGCTAGATTCCCCTTAATTCTTAATTAAGTATTAATTCATTTTTCAGTGACTTAACTCATTTTTCAAAAATCCCAATTGGTTAAAGTTCTATTAAACTTGCTAATTCTATCTTTAATAACAGACTGGATTAGACAAAGAATATTATATTCAAATTTGGGAAGTTTTGTGGGGAGGGAGAAGCAGTCCCTTTTCTTTTGCTGTGTTTAGGCAATAATTAATGATAAACACAGACAGCTGCCTTCAAAAGTTATTAATACATTTGAAGAAAATATCTGCTAAATTTCTAAATTTCTAAATGAAAATAATTAAAAATAGCACAAATATATGATTTTTCTCAAAGTATGTGGCATGTACCAGAAAGCCCATA